TTATGAACGCGATTTTTCTACGTTCAGGAGAGGGAGGTTTAACCTTACCTAAAACATAGACATAGGTTTTTATGAAGTGGAGTTTAGGAGCTTTGGCAAAAAAAGTGCCAAAGCTCCTAAACTCAAGTTTAGGGGCTGTTCATGTACATGGAACCCTTAAGTAAAAAAGTTTCTACTTTAGTTATACCTTAAGTAAATACAAATTATCTTTCTAAATGTCAAATATTGAAAGAAAATAGTATAAAACAAAAATCACACATATATATATATAAATACACTTTCTTCCACCAATAAAAAAGACAACATTGTAGAAGCCTAATCGTCTTGTCAATATATTGGCTTGTGTGTACATCCCGTACGGCAAGCAGATATAATGACAGATCTGCAGAAGACCTGCATGGCACCAGTGATCTGCTGATCGCTGGTGCAATGCTTTACAGACTCCTGCAGCCAAAAATAATAATTGCACATTTTTTTACCTGCAAAACTACTTTTGTGCAAAGAGTAAACTTATCCTTTAATGACTGAAATCGGGTTAGAGCTTTGAAGTAATGTATGAATCGTTTATTGGGCTTGGTGAAACACATTGGCCAATAACATTTCATCAAAAAATGTATTTTCAGCTGTGTTTTTTTTAGTGGTTTCTGGAGCTCAATTGTAAGTCTTTACTCCTGTTTGCTGATTAAATCTGAACATGTACAGGCAAAACAACAGTGGTGATAAGGATTGTACAAAGAGAACAGAACAACGGTAAAATAAACAGGGGAATTCCCGCATTTATATTATTTATACGGATGGATTGCTTTAGTGCAGCAAATAATGCAAACAGTTACAGGTAAATATTAGTTATATTTCCTTGTTGGGTGTGTGACTATTGAAGATGGATGGCTGGCACAGCGATCTGGAAAGCTATATAAACTGGCGATATCAGCATGCTCACACACAGGACACGGCAGCAGGTAGAGAATCCCAGGATAATTCAAGGTAAAGATGACATATCTCACATTTAGTTCCAACATTAACTACATTTTTTAAATGGGAAATAATGCATTGTGTATTTTTTAATATTTTTATTAAGAGCACTGATATTGGGGCTAAACAAGTGCTGTGTAAGCTGTTCATGTAGAAAAATTTATATTTACTTAGATTAGTAAATGAAGGTAAAGCTGTGTTCACCATATCACATGTAAGCGTAAATTTGAAAAAAAAAAAACATTTTTTGTTCTTGTGCATGGGCTTCACCTTATTTACTAAGATAAGTAAGCAGACACTGTACTATGCTCTGTTCCTTTAGTAAATCAACCCCAATGGAAAGCAGCAGAAGGCAGATCATACAGTATCTATCTATCTATCTATCTATCTATCTTCTATCTATCTATCTATCTCTATCTATCTATCTATCTATCTATCTATCTATCTATCTATCTATCTATTATCTATCTATCTATCTATCTATCTATCTATCTATCTATCTATCTATCTTCTGCATTCTATTAGTTATACTGTGGTTATACTGGACCATTGCTTTTGCTGTCGGTTTTCAAGGACTTCTAGCTTCCTGCTAGTTGCTTGGAAAAAGTTGCCGCAAGGGGAACATGCACCAATTTAGACAATTTAGAAAAATACATAAATAAAAAAAAGTAACCTTACAGTGGGGAGAGGTCCTTTTCATGAGGCTTCGAGGACAACTTTTAGGGCCATGGATAAGGGGGTACCACCAGTCCTCCTGTACAGGGCCCAATCCAGCAAGGGGGCCCAGGCAGCTGGATGAATCAGATGTTAGCAGGAAGGGTGATCAGTAGGGCAGGGGGGCAATCACTGGAACCGAGCCCCTGTATGGCTCTCTGCAACAGCTGAAAGATGGCTTCTCCTCTCCCCACTTTCGCTGGCTTTCAGCTGCTGCAGAGAGAGCCACACAGGGGTTTGGTTCCAGTAATTACCCCGCCACACCCATCACCCCTCCCTGTGCACCATACATTTCCCCCTGCTGCCCAGGCTCCCCTGTGTGCCCCAGCCCTGCAGTAATGCCTGCTTTCCTCCTCTCCTTCCCAGCCACAGCTGCAAGCACACAATAGGATCCCTCAGGAGAGTGGGGGAAGCGTTTGGTAAATATGTCACATTAACCAGCCCCATTCTTTCCTGAATGAGCACAATGAGTGATCAGTACTGTGTTCATTCATAACTGAAGCATAGTAAGCTATGCTTTTTTTGGGTGGCTGTATGGGTTTCTAACATCAGCTCTGGCAACATTGGAAATACACAAATCATTTAAATAACATGCTTGGGGCTGTATGTGGTGTTACAAAACAATTTTTCACAGACAGTCACAGTGACAGGGAGTACTGAAAGGGAACACTGACAGCACATATTTGACTGTGGAAGAAATGTTTTAATTTTAAAATTAGCTTGGCTTATATACATCAGCACCCCAGTCTGATTCATTTGAGATAAAAAAAACACTCTTTTTAGGTTAGCTTTACACATGTTTTTATCAAACAGACAGAATGGCAGGTAGAAATTGGCCAGTAGTTCACTATCCCCTTTCTGACAAATGCAAACCTTCCCAGCCACTGGTCAATTTCTTTCAGGCTGTCATTAATAAAATAAAATACTGCGGATAATACAACAGTATAAAACTGGTCAGCAGCAGACCAGTCTTAAATGGCAAAGTTAGGCCTAAATTTACTAGAGACAAATAGCACAGACTGGGGCTTTACTTCAAGAAATAAGATACTGCAGAGTATACAGCAGTGTAAAACTGGCCAGCAGCAGAATAGTTTTAATCAGAGGCAATAAGCCTGTCGGTTGTATGACTAACTTTTGTATATCTCTGGGGCAGGGTGTGGTGAATGTGAATTATATAATGTTAAGTGGTTGAGGAGCACACTGTCCTTGCACATTCAAACACTGCAATGATGTGCTGCAAGCAGGGGCGGACTGACAACTCATGGGGCCCCCGGGCAATAGGGGATCATGGGGCCCCTGTGTCCTTGCCCACACTCAAACAAAAACCTATAAAAACCAGGTACCAGGGGCATTTCATGGGGCCCCCAACTGGCCCCGGGCCCTCGGGCAGTGCCTGAGTTTTCGAATGGTCAGTCCGCCCCTGGCTGCAAGCAAAAGACAGCTTGAGGAATAGATGAACAGTAACAAGTGAATGTCCCGCTTTAAGCACCCTAAGCTTAAAAAAAGGCCCCATCAACAATAACAATCATTTAAAAAAAAAAAAACACGAAAAAAAATAAGAACCCCAAAATTCAACCCCTGAAACAAAAGCCCATTTCTGAGAAGTCTTGAAGCAAAAAAAAAAAGAGCTAATGGGATGACAGCTAAAAGTTGCAAATAAAATGAAAAGAAAAAAAGCCCCCAATAATACAAACAAAAAAGGCAGCAAAAGGGTTGATTGCCCAAAGAGCTAGCAATCAAAAATAAAGTACAATTTCCTAACTGCCCTAAACTCTTCCTGTGCATCTTGTAAGTTTTCCCTTCAACAGCTTCCAATTCACTAACACTATGGCTGCCCTGGCCCTTATCCCCAGGGGCAGACTGACAACTCATGGGGTTCCCTGGAAATAAGAGATAATGTGGCCCCCTGTGTCTTCGCCTGCAATCAAGCCACACCCCACAACACACCACCTACATATTGCAGCTCAGCTGCATATAAAAGGGCATTAAAAATAATAATAATTATAAAAAAAAAACAACATTGTGGGGTCCCTCCTCCATTCATACCAAGCCCTTTGGGACGTTTTTTTTTAATTAGTTTTTTAATTGCCAGCAATTCTTTATTTTACATTCAGCTGTCAGTGGGGAACCTCATTGACAGCTGAAACATTAAGGCATGTTTTTCACTACTAAAATACCGCATGACTCATGCGGTATTTTTAGTAGCGCTTTTTGGTGTATTCAAACTTTTTTTTAAAAAATGCTATGCGTTATCCTACCACATACTCGGATGCGGTAAGATACCACTTAGTGAATTGTGCCTCTCACCCAGCTCCCTACAGACCCCCGGCCCCTCGAGCAATGCCCGAATGGTCAGTCCACCCCTGCTTATCCCTTTTTATAGTGAGGGGGTTGGCTTAGCGAAAAGCTTCCTTATTGGCCATTCTAAGCCTGCTGACCACAGATTAAAAGCCATGTGCATTATGGTTTAAAAAAAAAAACTGGGAAAATCTGAACATTCACCAGGATGATAAATCAAATCCACAGGATTTTCTTCAAACCCATGGTAGCAATGAACCTAAACCTCCTCCATATTGAAGAGTAGACAAAAAACTAATTCGTTATCATATCGTCATATTCTTGCGATATATACAATTTTATCCAATTTTTTTTTGTTTTTTTAGATATCACCAAAGATTTTGGATCTCAAGAATGATATTTCTGCGTGCAGCTGCCATCTTGTGGATTGTCTGTGGTGTTACTGCATGTAAGAAACTGTTTGTAAAGTGGGCTGAGATCTGATGATGATGATGTGAATAATAATAATAATAATTCCGAATAACTTTTTTTAATTAAAAAATTGCTAGGAATTACCTCTCTAAGCTTTAGTATAATTCCACCTTCCTTTTCTGTCCTGCACCATTAATTTTTCCACAAGATTGCATCATGGGCATTATCATTAAACCCACTTCCCATGGGCCCAGGCTATCTTGGACCAACCCCAGGGGGGTACATTATCATGCAGGCTTGTCTCACAGTACTACTGGAATGAGCAGCATTCAAACATCATTATGCAAGTGCTGTTCAGTCTATATGGAGGGATCAATCACTGCTAGCGCCTCAGAAAATGAGCAAGGACCTGTGAAGTCCCCCAAAAAAGCCTAAAGACTTCTGGAAAGCAAGTACAGTATGTACAGGGCCTTTCAAATATAGAGACTAAGGGGGACCTTGTGGAGGAGATGGAGGGTAGGAGTTGACTAATATATTACACTTGAATATTATTTTTTTTTTACATACTAAATATATTTGTATCTTCTTTGTAATATTTTCCCATAGATGAAAATGTTGCCCTTGGGGGTCGAGCCACTCAGTCTTCAATTTACCGGAACCTGGGTGAAGGTTATCTGACTGCAGCAATAAATGCAATAGATGGTAACCAGAACTCAGCCTTCTCCTATGGCTCCTGTTCATGTACCCATAATGACCTGTCTCCTTGGTGGAGAGTGGACCTGCTGAAACCTTATAGTATTGCCTACATTACCATCACTAACAGAGGAGACTGCTGTGGTGAAAGACTGAGTGGCGCTGAAATCCTGGTTGGAAACTCATTGAACGACAATGGAAATGACAATCCTAGGTAAAATTCAGTGGTACATTGTTGTATCTTTTTAACCTTTTTATGACTGACATATTCTATGCCTTCATGTCAGGAGTAGGCACAATCAAAAGGCTATAATTGACAAGTGCGGTTCTTTTCGTTCTGAATTGAAATTCAGAAGACATTTTTGTTCGATGTATCTGAATTTCCAAATACAACAGTAACAAATTTGAATGCATCCAAGATAAACATTAATGTAGTAACAAAACTCATTCTTTTCAGTCAGATATTATTAAAACAAATGATTTGAATTAATTTGATAATAGCTGGTTGTTAAGAAGCAGGGTGGTCTATTGGCCATGGCGTCCTTAACAGTCATTATTATTATTATTATTATATTATTATTACTTCGAGTTTATATAGCGCCAAAGGGTTTGCTCAGCGCTGTACAATAGAGGGGGGGACAATACATGGCACAGTACAACAACAACAAACAACGTACGAGGGGTAAGAGGGCCCTACTCTTTCGAGCTTACAATCTAGGAGGGAGGGGGGTAAAGGTACAGTAGGAAGTGGTGAGGGGAATGAGGGGTGGGAGGAAAGAGGGAGAATGGCCGTTAGGTGAGGGTGGGGTAGGATTCCCTGAAAAGATGGGTTTTGAGGGGGAGCGCCTGAATGTGAAGAGGGAAGGCGACAGTCTGATGGATTGGGGCAGTGAGTTCCAGAGGATGGGGGAGGACCTGGAGAAGTCCTGCAGTCGTGCATGGGAGGAGGAGACCAGGGAGCAGGATAGAAGGAGGTCCTGTGAGGAGCGAAGGGTACGGGTAGGGCGGTGGGGGTACTTGGGGATCAGGTTGGTGAGGTAGTCAGGGGCAGTGTTGTGAACGGCTTTGTAGGTCAGGGTTAGGAGTTTAAATTTGATGCGTTGGGCAATCGGGAGCCAGTGGAGGGAGAGGCAGAGGGGGGTGGCAGAGGTGGAGCGGTGGTGAGGGTGGATGAGTCTAGCCGCTGAGTTCAGGATGGTCTGGAGCGGGGAGAGCCTGCACTTGGGTAGGCCGGTGAGAAGAGAATTACAGTAGTCAAGGCGTGAGATGATGAGGGAGTGTACTAGAAATTTGGTGGTGTCAAGGGTGAGGAAGGTACGTATCTTGGCAATGTTGCGAAGATGGAGCCTGCATGTGTTTGTGAGGGTGGGTCAAGGAGGGGAGGTGAGCAGGCATTGCTTGCCATTTGGAGGAGATTACTTGCACCTAGAAGTGGAGATCACGTGTGTTTTCTAAAAGCACAGAGTCACATGCATGGACATTTTTTCTGTTTCACTTATGATGTATATGAAATGTGTATGAATTAGGCACTATTTTATGTGGATGATTAATTTTATATTCACTAAATTTATTCACATTTGGTTATGTATTGAAATTTGTTATATGCACGGTATAATAGGTTTTTTATAGTGTGTGTTGAATCACTAAAGCTTAATTATATTCGGTTGCACTATTTTTTTTCTCCCACCAGAGGGATGTATTAGTGTTTATTATATAGATTTTGTCACACAGGAGTATCAGATTTATATTGGGTTAATTCATTTTTTTATTAATTCTTTTTTGAATGCACTTTACTTTATTTATTTATGAGATATAAGCACTTCACTATTTTTTTCTTTTTGTTTGCACTTATTGGTATTAGTTAAGTGACAGCAGCTGTATTATAGTAATCATTCCATCGAGCGCAGGAGGATCCTTTACACTTTAATGCTCATATAAACAGGCCCGTAAAGCCATGCTGGGGATGGGCAGAAAGGTTTGTTTAAAAACAGAAGCATCACAAACCTGTGAGTTAAAACCCCAGCAATTTAGCCAACTAGCAGATTGACAGCTATACCCAACAGTACTAAAAGTTGTCCCAGAGTGCTAACTGGACATGAAGGGGGGAGGAGGAGAAAGGGAGAGAAGGGAAGGAGATGGGGAGAGTTCAGCATTGGGCAGAGCTCAGCTCACTCACCCCATGCTGGTCTGGTGGCTCAGGCAGAGGTTTCAATCTTGAAGCCACCATGTAGTTGCCAGAGAAATATAGTCTAGTGAGCGCTCCTTAAAATAGCTGCTGAAACACCAGAAAGGTACCAAGATAAACCTTCAAATGGCTCAATAAAAATATAGGTGCAGCGCTAATAAAAAGGTATTATAATAAATGATTATATCCAGTGTTAAACGCAAATAGTATATCAAATAGTCCAACTATTATGACAATAAATTAGTCCCAGAGGGTAATAAAATCAACAGCAGATAGACCTTGTGACACCAACCGATAGTAAAAGAGCGCGACTCACCGGGTAAGCGCATAGGTAATAGGGCAAAAAGATTGTGACTTGTCAATTAAGCCACCTTGGGGTATCGACTTTCCAAAAAAAAGTTTAAATTTGATGCGTTGGGCAATCGGGAGCCAGTGGAGGGAGAGGCAGAGGGGGGTGGCAGAGGTGAGGTGGAGCGGGTGGGGTGAGGTGGATGAGTCTAGCCGCTGAGTTCAGGATGGGTCTGGAGCGGGGAGAGCCTGCACTTGGGTAGGCCGGTTCGAGTTGAGAAGAGAATTACAGTAGTCAAGGCGTGAGATGATGAGGGAGTGTACTAGAACTATTTGGTGGTGTCAAGGGGTGAGGCGAAGGTAACCCGTATCTTGGACAATGTTGCGAAGAATGGAGCCTGCATGTGTTTTGTGAGTGATTTGACATGTGGTGGAAGGAGAGGTTTCGAAGTCAAGAATGACGCCAAGGACTTTTGGCTTGGGCGGGCGGCGTGATAGTGGAGTTGTTGGTGAGATGATGGATAGGATGGGGGGGGGGGGTGTTGGCAGGAGGAGGGGAAAGGGGGGGGGGAGCTGGGGGGAGGGAGCTTGGGGGAGGGGTGGGAGGGGGGGGTCTGAGGGGGGATTTTAGGGGGGGGAGTGATGCGGGCGGAGATAGTTGGGAGTGAGGAGAGGGGTCTTTTTGAGAGGTAGATTTGGAGTGTCGTCAAGCGTAGAGGTTGATAGTCATGATTCATTTGCTGCTGGTCAGCTGGATTCCCCGCTGGCAGAAGAAAATAAACTCTCACAAGTGCCTGCATTAAATAACAAACAAAACTGCATGTGCCCCCCCCCCCCCCCCCTAATTAATACCAGGCCCTTCAGGTCTGGTACACATTTTAAGGGGAAACCCTACACCAAAAAAAAAAAAAAAAAAGGCATGGGGTTACCCCAAAAAAAATCTTACCAGACCACTTTATCCAAGTATGCAGTTGGTCAGGTCAGGAAAGGGGGGGGGAAGCAAGCAATATATTAAAACCAGGAGCCAATTTATACATATGGTGTCCATACTCACGTAATTAGATTTGTCTCATGTAATAACTAAGAGCCACATGTGAAGAACTTAGGTAGGTAAAAAGATCCCCACCAAAAAGTGGTTTACTTCTAGAGACTAATGCCACATATACCAGAACAATATTTATTAAAAATTAAAACTGTATTGGATCATTTAAAAAAGAAAAATTGAACAATTATATATAAACAAACAAATGAAAAAATAACCCGTATCCAAAAACAACAAAATCACCAATGCCCAGACATTGTCTTCCCACTTAATAAAAAATAGAAAACTCACCAGTGGCCAGTGCGAGATGGTAAACCAGATGCAAAAAACTCCGCTGGGGGCGGGAAACCCAGTTTTGTGGGGAAAAAACCCCTTTTTCCCCATCAAACATGGAGAAAAGGGTGCTTTGGGGGGGGGAAACCCACCCCCCCAAAAAGCACCCCCCTTTTTTCCTTTGACCTGAAAGGGCTCATGCTTGGATATTTTTTTTACTTTTTTGGCATGGGGGGGTTTCCCCTTTAAAAACCCAAAAGAGCCCCAAAAGCGCCGGGTTTGAAGGGGGGGGGGGGGGGGGGGGGGGTTTTTTGGCAGGGGGGTTCCCCCTTTAAAAACCCCAAAATTCAGCCCCAAAAGGGGCCCCCTGGTTTTTTTTTTGGGGGGATCCTACCCCTTTTTTTTAAAAAATTTTTTTAAAAGGGCTTGCACTGGTTTTTTTTTTTATTTTTCTGTTGTCTCCCGTAGACCCTGGAGAAGGAAGTTAACCCCCCCCTCTTTCCCCCGGGGCCCACATCAAAAAATGCCAGAAAACTGGGGGGATAAATTTCATGAGTGCTTTACAGCGCCCCTTCACAGGGGGGAAAAAGGGCCGTGAACCCCACAACCCTGTCAAAAGCCAGGGCCCAAAATTTTGAGATGAGGGGCACCAAATCCGAACCAAATTTGAAAAATTTGGCCCCGGGGGTGAAAAAATCGTGATCGCTGGACGGGTAAGTGTCCTTATATTTTTTATTATTTTTTTAATTCGATTTTATTTTTGGGGCCCAAAGGGGTTTGCTCAGCGCTGTAAAAATATTAAAAGCCCTTTTAGCTACTGTTTTTTGAGTACGACTTTTAAATTTTTTTGGAGGAGACTGAGCTTCTCATTAATGGGGGAAATTACATCTACAAAACCGGGAAACCCCTTTGCATTTTTTTAACACTGCATGTTTGAAAAAAAGATAGGCCCCAAAAAAATAAATTTTATTTGGTGAAACAGCTCAATAACTCCAAAAACCCAATAAAAAAAAAAAAATTTCCCAACAATTTTTTGGGGGACAAAAAATTTGAAAATAGAAGGACTCCCGGGGAAATGATTTTAATTCAGCATGGAGAGATGAAGGATCCACGATACTCCCGGAGGAACCAAAAAAATCAAAAACAAAAGGCAAAGGGCAGACTTATAGAGAAAAAACAAGATGATTTCCCCTCTACCTAAACGTTGCAGGCTTTCTTATCGGGAAAAAAACCCCTCCCCCCCGGGCATCGATGGATGCATAATCGTGGGAAAAAAAAGCATGGAAAAAAAAAAAATGGAGGTTAAAGGGGGAAAAAGGCAAAGGGGGGAGGGCTTGTAAAAAAAATTTTGAATTTGCTTTGGGTTGGGAAAGAATCAATGTTAACCACAAAACCATGGAAGCAAGGGGTTATGGGTGAAAAATTGGGAA